GAGAGAGAGAGAGAGAGAGAGAGAGAGAGACTCAAACCCTAATGATTTACAAGCTCCTTGCTTTGGTGGTGAGTTGCTTTCTTGGGGCATTTCCACCTGTTGTTTTGCAAGTGGTTTCCTCGGTTCTTGCCATTGTTGTAGAGAAATTGCCAACTATTTGAAAGTTCAAATTTTTATAGAGAAACTGTCTCAAAATTTTTAGAAAGAGAAACTATCTTAAAAATTTTAGAGAGAGAAACTATCTCAAAATTTCAAGTTTGATGTGTTCTCTCTCTGTGTGCATGTTTCCAATTGTGCTTACCAAACATAGGAAAAAGCATGCTAAGTAATCTTTTCTTGTAAACTATTTGCATATGTGAATATTTTTCATGTAAACATTTTCCTGTCAAACTTTCACGCATACCAAATGAGATTTGCATATAATAGCAAACCATGTTATACAAAAAGATGATCCAAACAGGAGATTTGCATAACTTGGGGTATCATTCAAAGCAATCCAAACAAGTCATGTTTGAGTAACCAGGTTTTTAACCAAGGTTTGACAGAATAAGGTTTTCATTCAAAGCCTGGGTTTGTTAACTCATGGAGCCCAACGAGCCCTGAGTGATTACTTCTCCTAGTCTTGTCCTTTTGGCACATAGAAACCTTTGGTTATGAGAGAACAAAACAAAAGGAATGGTATCATCAGCATACATAGAGAGCATTACATCCAAAAAATATTAACACAACCAAGAGAAAAGAGAGGAACACGAATCAGAATACATAGTAGAAGTAGCATACCCAGATATATCTTTCCAGTGGACTCCAAATGCACAATAAAAACACGTGCATTCACAAAAATCATTGCACCATAGATTTAATTCCACAAATTGCAATTAGCAGTAACTTGATGAGTGACTATCATACGCAATAGAACAATTATTATAGAAGGACCACATTAGAGTGGAAAGAATATCCAACAAACTTGTGCTAGAATAAGATGTCATCTAATATTGGCCTTTAGCAAATGCTAGTGTTGAAGCAACCTCTACCAAATGCAAGTGTTGAAGCAAAAACCACTTCCTAAATAATCAGAGTTGGGAATTCTAGCCCTGAAAGTTTGACATCATGTAACTTCAGTTTATCAAGTTTGCGCCAATACCTCATAGTCTAAGCAAAGCAAAGCTGACATATATTTACCCCTCTCCTGGTAAAATTTCATAAAGCAGTCCCAAAGAGAACATTTTTCAAGGATATTTTGGTAATTAAGTCAGGTCAAATGCCTAGTTCTTACCCCCTCCAATCGTTAGCTCTTTTCTTTCCAAATTCAAGAAATGAACAAAACCCATAAAAATAAGGTAACTACAAAACTTTAATTGGACAGCCTCTCCTTTGCCAATGGTCAGCCTTCTAAACGGCCTCCCTCCATACATGTGATATGCCATGGGTAATCAATCTTTTTGGTAGCCCCCAGAATTATGTCCTCAAAGACCCCCTTTATTTCCCCAATGCTGAAGTGAACATCAAGGACCAAACAGCGAAGGTTTTGCTTCCTCCTGGCTTGAATCACAACTGGGTAGTAGACCTGAAGAGGTCATTGATGTTTTGCTTTCATGATCATTTACAATCCAACCAACCTTTGCCAATCCCAGGTTTTGAATTTAGCCCCCATCAATATTTAGTCTAGCAAATCCAACCTATGTGGTAGTCCAAGTAGCATGTCTTAAAGGTCAAGGTAACTATGCGCGATGTCACCACTGATTATCAAAGTATATCCACAAATTTCCTCACACACTCTCAATAATGATATAATGGTTGATCTTATCTTATCGATCAGCCATTGAACAAAATCTTGTCTCACTATTTCCATCCATGTTCTTTTGGGTCTTCCACGTGCTCTTTTAGAGCCTTCCACTTGAACTAAATTGCCCCTCTTAACCAGTGTTGTACTAGGTCTATGCTGTTCATGGCCAGTCCCCCTAAGTCTACTTTCCCTAACCTTATCGCCTATTGGAGATGTGTTATATTATATATTCTTAATCATAAAAAATAGTTTTTTATACGCTATATTAGATATATTATATATTATGTATTGGTGATCCAATCTATCGGGTTGGGTTGGGTATTGTTCAGGTCTAGGTAAAAATAAATAGGTTTTACTTTTTATAAAAATAAAAAAATAAAAACTAAAATATAAAAAATAAAACTAAAAGAGATGTGTGAGGGCCTAAGAGAAGGAAGTCATGTGATTTTCCAGAATTGAGAAAAAAAGAAAATCTTAAGCTTTTGCAACTCTAGATGTGGAAAAGAAACTCAAGGTTTCTTCGAATTGTGCTTGTATTTGGCTTTGTTTCTTGCTGGTTTTACTATTTTCTCAATTTTTTCTGCATCAATTCGGTGTTAGAGCGCAGGATTTCTTCAACAACAAGGGTAAGGAACTACAACCAAATCAAATGTTTGTTGATTTTGGCCCGTTTTGCCAAATCAATCTAGGTCTTGCCGATTTCAATAGGTTTTTGTTATTTACCTGCCTAAGGTTTGTGATTTCGGCAAACCCATGGGGGCAAGAAGGGCTGTGGGAGGGGAGTTTTGTAGACCCACTCCCTTATCCCAGAGATGACAGAATTTGAATGGCAAGTTCAGAAGTTGATGCAGTAGTTCGCAACCTTCAATAATGGGCAAGACGACAGTGATCTTTCAGCCTAAGAGGATATCGAGTACAACCTTTTTCACTTTCGCACTCCGCGTGGGGAATTGAGTGATGAGAATAGTGATAGAATACCTAGACATAGGGAACATCACTCTCGGATTTTAAATTTGAAGGATAGGATTCTTGATTTTAACACTGATTGCATTGAAAATCTGCAAGTTTTAAATTTGGATTCACCAGCAATCTTTGATACATACCCCGATGAACAACAAGATCATTTAGGGGATCTGATCTATGATAAAGATCAAGATGATAATGAAGAGATTTTGGAAGAGGGTGAAGAATATGGAGAGAAGGCAACAAGAGGACTAAACCAAATCATGGCTTTTGAAGATCTCATTAATTTCGAAGAGGTAGGGCATTAAAGAAATATAGAGTATTGGAATCTAACCAGCACGGAAAGTCATGAAATAGATGCCGAAAAACCTTGAAAGACAAGAAAATTGGGTTAGAAGTTTCCTACAAGATTTTCAGTGGGAGTTCAAGGACAACCATGTTTGATAAATTTCATTAATTTCTTAAGATACATATCAAGATCCATTTTTTAAGGAATTCTTTTAACCACAAATAACATTTGAGCCAACAAAGAAGAAGAAGGTTGAGGAATGTGCTCGTGATGCTAAATTCATCTTAGCACACTTCAAAACTTGATGTGGAGTTTTCTCTAACTAAGGGAGAATGATGGAGGGTATTCAATTTTAAAGGATGTATATTACAATAGCAATTTTAGTTTTAGAGCTTATTTCTTGAGGCTTTTTTTTTTAGGGATTCTAGGGTTTTAATATTTTTTATTTACTTCATGAGTACTATTTACAAGTATTGTTCACGGGTACTCTTCACATGGTTACAACTGTCATTACAAATTTTTAAGTTTTAGGAAATATGGGTCAATATATTTATTTATTTGGACACTTTTTGTACTTAGAACATTAAATAATATTACAAAGGGGTACTTAGTGCCCTAGGAGGCAGTCACTCTGATTTTCTAAAATTGAGAAAAAAGAAAAGCTCAGGCTTTTGAAACCCTAGCTTGGGTGTGGAGAAGAAACCCTATATTTCTTTGAATTGTGTTTGTGTTTGGCTTTGTTTATTAGTGATTTTACTATTTTCTCAAAATTTTCTAGATCAACTTCAAAACTCATTTGCCTAGCATATATCCATAACATGCAAGAGTGGGCTAAAGAGGTTCCCAGGATCCTTGAGGGAGAAGGCTCACGATTGGCAAAAGTTGAGGGAGACAACTTTCAATGGGCAGACAGAAGTTGAGCAACCAAGAGTAGAGGAGAAGGGGGCGAATGTTGCCCTATGTTGATGAGAAGGAAGCAGAGCTGTTGGTGGTGCTGGTTGTGCTCATGCTTCTCAAGTTTTTTGTTTTGGGCCTTCGACTATGGAAATATGAAATAGACAGTAAGTAATGGGCAAAATGCAAATGGACTTAGATTTGGTATGTTGGCTTTAATTTCTTTAGATACTATGTCTGTGAGAGACTTTGTAACCTATTTGAATGTGAAACTATGTATTTATGGTTCTTGTCCTTATCATTTGCAAAGTTTCATATGGCAATTGGTGAATGTAAAATGTTGGATGTTTACAGATTTCATTTTTCATGATTATGGTTAATTAGGATTGTGAATGTTAATAGCTTGATCATAAATATCCAATATAGTAAGTAATAAAACTTGATTTTAGATGTGTGTGCAAAAATATTACATATTTCTTTTTTCAGTTTTTTCCCACCCAAATCAGCCGAAGTGCCAAAGCCACCCCTTGCCTTCAAAACCAAAGAAGTCTCCAAAGAGTACAGAGAAAACCCCTGATTGCTATGCATTTTAGCCCGGTCTCTCCTTACTCTTCTACTCGCAACAGTTAGGAAATTCTAGAGCCAGCGATCAGAACACGGAAAGCACCAACATGTAAAGCATAAAAAATAAACCAAATTTCGAAGGGAAAGCAACAGCAGACAATGAGATTGATACAGAACAAGCTCAAGAATCATAACCACTAAAAAACTTATCAGATAAAAAAAAGCAAGAGGGAAATAATGTAAACAGACAGAGGGAGCAGTAAAGGAGAAAGAATGACACCTTTGTTCTCCTGATCAATCTCTTGCGCCCCTTTCATGTTCCCATTGCCGCTGCGCTTACAATATTCATCCCCTGATTTTTCTGTCAAGGGCTCCGCCATGACTTCTATCGTCAAAATCCTATCAGAGAAATTCACATTGTTGAATGCAAAGTTAAAATCAGAAGATTCAATATTAGATCCAGCACCAGAATCTGAGGACTCCACCATTGCTCACTGCCCTGAAATAAAGGAAAAAAACGAGAAGACACTTTGTTGTTCAAATTTTATTAACCGATGAACCACAACTCTTGCCCTAGCATTTCAATAGCGTTTATGAGTCGATCGACAATGTTTGCTTTCGTATTTAGAGAAATTTTCAAGGGTTTTTGAGCAGAGAGAAACCATAAGCTTCTTCTAGAGTTCAGCATTCCCGAGCGGAGGAACCGTATGACTGGTTAGGGTACAAGTAGTGTTCAGCATTCCTAAGACTTCGAGAGGAAAACATTAGGACTGCTTACCGTAGACGAAACAATTATAGAGGGAAAAAGTTTATATAAGATTGCAACGTTAAAAATGTAGAACTACGGATGCGCCTCAAAGGAAAAGGTGAAACCCCCTAATTGATCGTCTCGACATCGAGATGAATGACTCTGAAAAACGACAGGATTTTGAGTCGCATAAATGGTGAATCTCACAATTAGACTGCCTATTTTTAATATTTTTATATATTTATAGATCTATTCGATTTTAATTATTTTTACAATTTAAAATTTTATAATTAGATATAAAAATAGATTTTGAGATAATCTTAAGAATATTTTACATCAAAATTATATGTTGCTATAAAATTTGACAGTGCACCTAAAATGGATGGTTTAAGATCAAAATTATATGTTGCTATAAAATTTGACAGTGCACCTAAAATGGATGGTTTAAGGTTGTAACCTTATAGAAACCACACCCATTACAGAGAAGCGAAGACAAACAGAAGGAAGAGCTAGAGACTGGGAGGCGGAGACGGGAAGGAAGAGCCAAAGACAGAGAGGAATCAACGCAAAAATACATAAAAAAAAAAAATTGGAGAGAGAGAGGCTAAGTGCACACGAGGATTAGAGGGACAATGAAAGCGACTAAAGAATCAATCTCCTGAAGTTGTAGGTTACATCCTATAAGCACGGGTATGCCTGGGCAGTAGTACGAGCCCCATGATGATGTCTCGGACTCTATTCTCATAGAATCCAAATCCCCACTAGATAGGAGTCCAAATCCCATTGATTTTTATTTTTATTTATTTATTTTATTTATTGGATAATTTAGTAAGGGGATGATTAGCCCTTGCCCCTTTCATGAAATCGTTAGCGTTAGTGGTTTTTGAATGTGTTAGGTGAGAATGAAAGTTTAGACCTTAACTCGGGCACAAGTGGTGCTAGATATTTAATTTTGGGATTATAAAGCTTATAGTTTTTTCAAGATTGTATATATTAGACTATTTATTTTATCGAGTTTAGACCTTAACTCGGGCATAAGTGGTGCTAGATATTTAATTTTGGGATAATAAAGCTCATAGTTTTTTCAAGATTGTATCTATTAGACTATTTATATTTATTTTTATTGAGGAAGTCACAGTTGCTGCTAACCACTAGATCTCAAATTAGATGGTTTGGAGTGTATCATTAAGTTTGTTTAAAACTTTGAGTGTAATTAATACCACGCTCAAACCACCCCGATTTGAAATATGAGATACAAGTGATTGTCATTTCCTTATATTACAAGTACATGATCTCTTTGTATTTTTTCCCTTATTTTTACCTATTCAATATTTTTTGATCTTCCAAGTCAAAACTATGAGTATTTTGATGGGCATTCCGAAATTGGTAAAATATTAAATAGCTAATACCTTAAATATATTTTGAAAAATGCCCCCAGTGGTACATTGAAAATATTCTAAAAAATAGGCAAATTTTTATTTTTCCCTTTTTAATCTTCTTCAAAATAGGCTTAGTTTGGAATTGAAAGTTCCAAACTTACTTACCAAGCATTTTATTTTTGTTGTTGGTCGAAACTATGGTTTATGGGGGCCCAGTGAAGGCCAAGCGTTCGACGAGGACATAGGAGTTTGGGCGGTGGGAGGACTGTAACACCCCTTTTCTCCGTAAGCCTAATATGATCCATGTGATGTGTGTGTGCAGGCATCTAGGTGGAGAGAGTCCTGATGCAAGGGTACAAACAAGTGCAGACATATAGAAAGAAGACAAGGACTTGACTGTCATGGATCCCAGAGGGGACCTTGGGGTAACCGGTGGAATGTAGTTGACCGGCATAGGACCGAGGTGCATGACTGAAGGAGTGGCACATGACCAAGAGACGTAGATACACGACCAAAGGCCGGTGATGCATGACAGAGGATGTGTGGCACTTTACCCTTGGAAGTATGCTCTTTTGCTATGTGGTCGTATTAAGGTTAAACCTAGAATCCAAGTAGGTGCCAGGGCCGCATGAGCTAGACAAGGAAAACATCCCCATAATTAATGGTATCAGAGCACATGTTTAGTTCGCATGAAAATCATTTCTAGAATTTTTTTTTTTTTAGAATATTAACTTATTTCTAAAAAACATTTTCACATGAAAAAATTCTCTCACACGGTCATGCGTGGGAATATTTTCATACCAATTGATCTTAGTGCATCTTTTCACATGAATTGACAACTAATTGATGTAAAACTACTCCCACACTTGACCGCATGAGATAATTTTTTCATGTGTAAATGTTTTCAAGAAAATATTTTCACGCAACCCAAACGTTGAGGAAGTTCATAACTTGGAGTTTTAAGCCTAAATTTTGACAAAAGAATATCTTCGAAACTTCAAGTTCTAAGCCTATTTTATTTCATTTTTTATTGAAATTGTTAATTCCTAACTTCAAGCTTCGAGCATATTTTTTTGTGAATGGGCAGTTCTGAATTGGAATTCTAAACATATTTATTTTTCAAATTTAAGTTTGGAACTCCAAGCCCTAAACTTCAATTTTAACAAAAAAAAAATGCCCTGGAACTCCAAGTTTTGAATTGACAAGAAAGGAAAAATGCATAATAAGTAGGTTCTGAATTTGAAGTTCTGAACAAAATGTATTTTGGGGGGGAAACAAAAAAAAACAAATGACATGCATGTAAAATTGGAAACTTTATAGATATGTTTAAATACTGCTAAAACAAAGGGACAGTAACATCAATTTCCTTTGTTTTAATATATCATGTTCTTAAGCACAAATTTTTGGACCTTCCATTTTAAACTTAATCTCATCTTAAAAAAGGTCAAAATTGATTAACCTTTGAAAATAATAACAAAAAACTCTTTATAAATATTAGGGAAAACAAAGTTCCTTGTATAATTTACACTCAAGTCCCACGATTTCATGTTTTTAATTTCTTATTTTCCCCTCAAACATCCAATTCTCTAATGGTTTTCTTTCGTTTCTTCTATTTTTTTTAGTTAAAAAGTTATCCGAATATTTGATGTTTGAACTATGTTTGCCTCTTAATTGGAGCAGTTTGGATATCTCTAAAATGCTTTTAACTCAAAAAATTCAAAATCTAAGTGGTTTGGACATCAAGGGCTTGTTTGGATACCTGGAAATATATTGTCTCTGAAATATATTATTGGCCTAATATATTACCTGCAAATGGATTATCACTATTGGATAATAATTAGATGCAACCTGGGAAATACATTGTTATTGTTTGGCTATTGACAAGAAAAAATATGAGAAATGCATTACGAACATTTTTTTTTTTTTTTTGGCTTTTGGTAGAGTTGTACAAGCCCTATTAGTACGTAACTTAAACATTATAATTGCATCAGGCATAAGAATTAACCACACCTTTTGTATGCGTTTGCGTCTTGACTTTGAATCATATATTTTTTAAATGTTAACACTTTGGAATAACATACTTTTATTATAATAAGCCATTATATTTTTTATGTTTTCTTTTCTTGTGCTAAAGCCTTTCGATCATTTCTCTCCAGAAAACTTTCATGGGCAAACTCAAAAGAAAACAAAAGTTCGGAGAAATTTGGCTAATAACGTAGAAGTCTTTATGACTGAATGAGATGTATTGGAGGAGAAATTATATTTGGGTAGAGGAGATTGAAGAAGTAAATTGATTTTAAAAAAAATAATAATTCAAGCACACTGATTTGAGGATTCTAGCATTTCGAATTTTTCAACAAACAATAGCAGCAAAAAACAAAACTAAAGCCAAAAAAAATAATCAAACTCATCTTAACAGACAACCCAAATCTGTTTTTTTTTTAATAATAGCTATAACCAAGACCCAATGAATAAATCTTATATATGTAGAAATAAACAATAAGTGGTAGGCTGGCTTCCGAGTTTTAGCGCTCGTGAATAAATCTTATATATCTAGAAATAAACAATAAGTAACCGAAGATGAGGCTGGCTTCCGAGTTTTAGCCCTAGTTGAAGAAGATGGGGTGCTCTGTTAGTTTTTGGGTTTTAGGTATTTTGTTGTTTGGTATAATAAATTTATTGCTTTTTTGAGAAATCTCGACTAATCTTTTTCTATTTTCTTACTATTAAAGTGTACCGAAATAATAGAGATGTCATATTTCCACCAAATCTATTTTATTTTCACGTTCCAAACCCCCCGCAAGTGTCTAAACCAAGTTTTTGTCTTAATGAATAAATTGGGACACTCGACTCATTCGCTCATAAACAAAGGGACTTTTCTATGGGTGTATAATAGCACACCGTCCCTAACACACATGCACACGCTCCCTCCACCCCAACTTCTCACACACTCTCCCCACACTTTCTCTCTCTCCTTGAGCTCTCACTCTACTTCTCTCTCATCTCTAGAACCCTCTCTTTAAGCAGAAATTCAAGCCTTTCATTCCAACAAGGAAGCCCAAGGTTCAAATAAAGTTACTGAAAGAACATGTATAACTCAAGCTACCTATAATATTAGGGTCTTCCTCACTGTAAAGTTTTAGGGTTTTAATCTTCTTTATATTAGTTAGATCATAAATTGTTTTTACCAATGAAATAATTCTATTTGAATGAGGCAATGCCTCCATTGGCTTAAGGCATGAACCACCGCATTTAACTCGACATGTAAATAGAATAATTAATCTTTCCTCCCCACTTAGTTTCTCACTAAAGAAGGCCGCGGATCTACCCTCTTGACTTAGGACACCTCCAATTCCCACCTTCGAGGCATCACACTCCACTTGGAAGTCCTTCCAAAAGTCTGGAAGTGCCAAGGACTGTCATCATTTCTTTCACCGATTTGAAGCTGTTTGCAACAGCTAAAGTCCACTCAAACACCATTTTTTTGTGCAATCAGTTATGGGTGCTATTATGCTTTTGAAGTTTCAGATAAACCTCCCGTAAAATGTTGCTAAATCATGAAAACTTCTCACCTCTGTCACTATTTGGGTGTCAGCTAGTCTGCAATGGCTTGTACTTTGGTCGGATCCATCTTGACCCTTTCGCATGGCACCATAAAACCAAAAAATCTAAGTTGCTAGTAAAAAATGAACATTTTTTGAGGTTTACATAATAATATATAATATTTTAATTTAGCATTCCTCCAGGAGAGGAAGACAATCCCCAAGGTGAAGTTTTGCTACAAAACATACTA